GCCCTTACCTATGTTGGCATATTTTCTAGCCCAGTGTTACCTTATATGACAATATACTTGACAATGTTGTTGCACTGACAGAATTTAGTTACAAACATAATTTTTTAAGGCTTATTAAAGAGTTAAGCAAAGCAAATTGTTAGTGGTGGTACGTGGCAAGACAGAAATTTAAGCAAATGGTACCTCGTTACGAAAAAAGTTAATTACCACGGCTCAGCTTTCCATTATATGCAAATTTTTGTCACGCAAAGTATTAACTATTAAAAACACGTACACGAAATCTTTTTAGGTGGAAACGAATAGAACTCGAGAAAAAAATTATTGAAAATTAATATTTTTGTAGGTTAAGAGTCAATTTTGACAGCAATTTTGATCAGTGCTGCCATTTTTTTATGCAAAAATAACATGATTCTTGTTGTCTATGGTAAATATAAGTTTATTATGTTGGTACTATTGTCAAAATGTGACAATTTACCGCCATTAATGAGATCTGTCTGTCAGTGTTTGTGTTCGTCGCAGTTGAGAGCTTTTTCGTACTCCTGTTGATATTAACATCGTCTGACTACCATGGCATCCTCAAAGCCTTCGGCCTCGAATTCTGCTGTCCCATCGCCTGAAGAGTCGAGTGTAGTGCGAGTTTTGGACTCTAATGAGCCACTTGTGTGGTGATACTTCACACTAGGTTAGGTTAGGTTAGTGTTGTGACCTTAACGCGCGAGCCGAGCGAGCGTGCCGCGGCAGCGGCCGGCGAAGCGCCAGAAAGAAAAATTCGTTAATAGAGACTTTTTCTACAAAAAAAAACAAATATCACCTCTAGGCCCTGGAAGTACAGTTTTACCTTTAAAACCCCTCTAATTTTTTATAATTATCATTTCTGTAAAAAAAACGACCCTTCCCTCTGAGGGGTCTTCCCTAATACCTATCCCCCTGAAATTTCACTACATAGCCCCCCCTCCCCCTCCCCTACAAATTACCGCGAAATTCAATTACATATAATGGAATTAAGTACCATTACCACTGCTGTAAAATGAAGTCCCTTTAAACTCTCTATCTCCTTGAGTGTCACCAGATCAAATCATCACATATTTACCATTCAAATTTGAAATAGGTAGATTGCAAGATAACCAAATGATCATTGATATATTTATTTCAATCTGGTTACAATTACGTACGAATTCCTAAGGTATCAGGTGCAGATTTATGAACTGGCTAAGTAGTAGGGAGGTTATTAATTCGATAACGACAACCTCAGACATCTAAGCGTCACTTGAGACTATTTCATGATTATTTTAATATGAAAGCAAAACAGTAATAAATTCGTAGTCAAAGTGTATACAAAGTGTAAACTCACACATTTCTGATCATAATTATTTAAATGAATAGGCTTTTAAACTTCAAGCAATCTAACTTAAACATGATACCCACATTTAATTAACGTAAAAATTACTTACACTTACCTGTAATTTCTACTGCTTCTCGAAACTTGGAACAATGAATAAGTACCGCAAAATTACCGAATATTAGATTAATTTGATAAAATTGTGGCTATTTTTACGATCAAAAAGGCAAATCGTTAATAAATAAATATGGCCGCCGCTATTTTTTTTTTGGTTACGTTCTCCCTTTTCAGGGAAGGCAAAGGGAACAATGCCCATACAGCCTAGTTTTAAGTTATATTATTCTGTTTTTCTTTTGACATTAGAATGTCGGTTGTCGGAATGTCTTTGAGGTTATGGTTGTTAAAGTAAATATTATTTTATGGGAATATTTATTGCGTTTTTTTACATTTAATAAAAATGGAAGTTGCGTTTATCAAAGCAGACTCAAGGAATTTACCAAGAGTTAGCGTTGACATGGTTATAACTTTTTTTGTCCAAAGTGCAGAGTTTTTAAGTGTAGAAATAAAAGGGACTATATTACTACGGTATGTAAAAATCGTAGTTGTTAAACTTCGTATTTTATTCAGCGGCTTCTACAAATCTTACGGCGATAATGCAATCAGCTATGTCCAAATTAAAAGAGATGGAAAATGATGTACAGTAAATAGTCGAGTTCTCCGGAGCATAAACTACGTAAAGAAGGTTATCGTGTTACAATTATTTTAAATGAAACGCAAAGCTTGGTTCAGTCCTGCCAATGTGAAGATTGTGCCACACATTTTAAACTTTATCTAATTTTCGACGTCATTCTCCTACTGTAAAATTAAAAATATGTTATAGACAGGTTTTGTAAGTATTAGGTAGGTTACTAATGCGTTTTTACGTACAAGCAGATTAATTAAGCATATAACAAGTATATTCGCCAACTTAGTCAAAGTGATCTTCTCATCATCGAATAATGGTCTTTGGAGAATAAATGTCATTTCTCTTCGCAGCTTGAAACCACTTTTTTTCAGTTTTGGGTCAGAAGTTCCAGTCAAAAATAATTTATTTGGGACCTTTGTCGAAGTAGATTGGCACAAAACATGAGTCAACACGGCTTTTTTTCGGAATATTAGTGGTATTGTTATGATCACATGATGTTGATGGATAGTCCATTTTAAATTTTTCAAAAAAATATTTCGAAAGTCGAAAAAATATGCCAAAGTATGAAAATTTAAAGCCAGCAACGAACAATTACGACCAGTGACAGACAGGAGTGACATCATCGCAACCATAGGTACGTTTTCGCGCGAAATTTTAAATTGTCAATTTAAAACCGCATTTTTTCCGATAAATCACAATGTTTTAATTTTTTAATATATCTGTGGCTTATTCTACATGGAATTCTTTAAAATGAAAACAAAAATAAAAATATTGCATCTTCCCTATTGTAACACAAAATCACACCAATTTTATTTCACAATATCCACTATGAACGAATTTAAGAATAATTAAAATAAGACGCCAACCACACTCGATGAAATCCCGCCAAAAACTTGCCGCTACTTTTTCTTGTGGAAATGGCAAAGGCGCATGAACCATACAGCCTAGATTGAGTTTTGCTATTCAATTTATCATCATACATTGATCAATAACAACATCACGATACTAGGATCGCAGTATCACAGGTTGTAGCGGATACTGCGATACGGCATATTACACTGTCAATCATTTATGTCCCACCCGATGAAAATTTCAAAATTCTTCTATTGGGTTAGGTTGCGTTTACACATAAGCAAAGCTGTGCGGAGTGGAAAAGAGTAGTCTTAAGGAAATACCAATGGCATTGCTAAATTCAATACACATTTCATAAGCTCCACTTCAGTGGATCCATAGGTAGAACACGATAGACGCGGCCATAATAGCTAATAGCGTAGTTGAGATTGAGACACTCTTCTTGAAATGTATAGCGCTAAGTGGAGCGGAGACGAGCGGGGCAAAGGGGAGTTTTCTTTTTTTCTTAGTGACCACTATTTACCTGCGTGAATATAAAGTACTTTTTATACAAATTATCATATTTCAACGTCGAAAGACAGATTTTGGTATCGAAAATGTCAAGGTTCTCTGAACCTAAACTTAAATTTGACAATAGTGTACCCTTGCATTCTCTATGCAGAATGAAAAGAAGAGACATAGTTTTAAGTTTAAGCATCATACTCGAATCAACACCTTTGTTTGGTTAATTTATAGATGGTGAATGATAAATGAATTGTTTTTTATAAAATCTATCGATGTATATTTGTTCTATCAACATACTATTTATATTTATTTATTTTTTGTTTCCTCCCAGGCGCGGGGGGAATGGTTGTAAAATCTTCATGGATACCCTACAGCTGGCCGCAAGGTTATATCAGATGCTTAAACGTTTGTTAGTAATAAAAATACCGTTCATTCGTTTCATTTACTTTTTACAATTTCTACCTTTTATTTTAATCAATTATTTGTCACACCGCGCCTTTTCTTTTAATGGAATTTTGTAGTAGAATACTGGTGTCGATCCTAGCGTAATTCTCTGAACCTAAAACTTTATTTAAAATCAGTCTCTCCTTTTCATTCTGTGTCTCTACACATCACATCATCATTCTCTAATGACAAGGATAAACTGTTGTCAAATTTAATTTTAGGTTTAGAGAATTACGCCTGAATCACCATTAACTTTTTATAAATTAAGAATACTTGTGTATGATAGGAAACACCATGTTCCACCAGGATTGAAGAAAGATATGGGATTTTGCATGAGAAAACAATATAGGCAGATTATTAGGCTCTATGGTATTACTCTATCAAATAAAAGTATCAATACCTAGATGGTATCGTTACATCCATAAAGCCAATTCAATACATTTCGTGCCAAATCAGCGCCGATAAGTGCCGACACGCGCTGGTCAGCGCTGGCACTGCCATTTTAAATTAATTATAATTAAATTAATGATATTGATACGGAACCCTTCGTGCGTGAATCGATTAGCACTTGATTCCGATTTTTTTATTATGGTCCATGTTGTCCGAATAATAAATGATTTGTATTTGAATTATTATCCTTAGATTAAATCAATCTGAGTTATAATCTTTTTATAAATCTAATAACTTTATCTTTTATTAACCAAGCGCTAAAATTATTTGTTTCGTACTTACCGAATGGTGACAACAAGTCTTTCTTCTGTAAGGATTGGTTGTTTACGCCAATTACACCAATTTTTCATCAAACGGAAATCAAAAATGTAATAAAATGTTTGTTGAGTCATTCTTGTTTATGTATAAAATATTTGATCATCAAATTTCAATTTTTTTACGAATAAATGATGGTATTCTCCGAAATTAAAGGATGTATAGCTTTTTTTCGCATATTTAAATACACATTTTCTAACAAAACCAAATCATCGTCCGATGAGTCCGATATTTTGCTTGCTCTGCTTTAATCGGCTTCCTTTATGTAGTAAGGATCAGCGCCGATAAGCGCTGAACGGCTTTCGGCTTTCTTTCTGTATAAGGCCTTGCAGCCTTGGAATGAGTCACACCGACATTGTAATGTGAAAAAAAAAAAACTTTAGACTAGGCTATATGGGCATTGTTCCCTTTGCCTTTTCTTTCATTGGAAATGTCAAAATCTGCTACGCGATTGCACGATTTAGATTCACAAAAGTGCGAAAACTTTGGCAAAATTTTTAATTTAGGTATCTACGTAGGCACCTATTTACTTGTTTACTAACATATATTTAAATTTACATATTTTAAATGTAATATTCCTATAAAAGTAGACTATACATGTATGGAGATAACATAATTCCAGTGATATAAACTGTAATAGAGTTTGTAATTAAATGTACGTTTTAAGAAATGAAAAATGAATAACAGTTCTGACTTTATACTATATGAGCTGCATTGCTCAAAAGATGCTCTTACAGACAATTATGGCTGGTTTATGCAGTTCTTGTTAGCTGTACTGGCCTTCACTTGCTTGATTGGTAAGATTTACTCATGTTACTTCAAGGTGATTTATTGTGAAATTGTTCATGGAGAAAACTTAATCAATTTTATTACAGGCAAGAGATTCTGTGAACCTCGCTATGCTAGGAGACCATGGCTGATTTGGTTTTATGATACATCAAAACAGGGCCTTGGTGCTCTTATTATTCATGCAGCAAATGTATGGCTCTCTCCACATCTTACTGGGAATCCTTGTACATGGTAAGTGCTTTTAATGAACAAAGAATTGGGTACACTATTGCACCTTAAAGTTTTCTAGCTGGTTTATTTCAAGTCAATAGTTATGTACTTACATATATAATTACTAGCTGTTACCCGCAACTTCGTCCGCCTGGAATAGTATTTTTGGGTAGCATTTTTAATTATTTAATAAGAATCATTAGTAGGTATATTTAAAAAAATTAAAAAATATTTGTTTACAGTAGATATAAGGTACCTATGTATTCCATTGAGTGGCAGAAGGTACCTAGGAAATTTTATTTGGTCCCTTATGTCCAAGAGACACTTACAGGGGCCAGCATCACGTAGTGTACAAAAATATTTTAAAATGACCTAATTTAAATCATTTTTGTACACAACGTTTACTGTTTTGTTATTATTTGTTAAAATGTGGAAATTGTTTGGACTCGAACTTGCGAGCAGGCCACGTACAGTCGGCCATGCGAAAAACAGTTTTTCTCTAAATTGACACCTGCCTCGCGCTTTGTTAATGGTCATTGTGAAGGCTGGTTTGAGAAGAAACTGGATTCTTTTAAACTGAAAAGGTAAATCTGTAGGGATCATGGGTATGCGGGGAATCAAAACTTCATCTTTAGCTATTCCTGTCATTATAATTGCTCTAATGATATTGCATTCTAGCTGCGTAATTTGCAATCGAGTCCCGTTGCATAGTCTCGGCGCTTCGAGATTTCTCATTAACAAAACTGGAACCCCAATTTTCAGTCTCAGCTTCTCTGTAGGATAAGATGTTACCTGTTCACTGTCCATGACAATATCTACTGAAAAATATTCGACAACATCGCCTTGCACATGTGACATCATTTGTTCATTGATCTGTCCCACGATTTCATTGGTTGGTGCTAATATTGCCCTTTCACACAGCCACTCTCTATTCCTCATGTTATATTCCAAACTGGTATAGACGTTGTTTTTAAGATCTTAATGTAATCATGCCGTTAGCGTCTGTACTCATTCGACCTTCACCGATTTTCAATAGAGCAGCTGCATATTGCCCCGATTGCGTATCATTATGTAGTTGTACTCGCATGTTTTTAGTGAGACAAAATTTTTTGCACCCATAATGTAGATGCCTTCAAACAAGCATTTATCTCATCACTTTCGTTTGCGGGTCGTAGTAGAAAAACAAAAATAAAATGAATCAAAAACAAAACAGATGTACAGATTGAGATTTATTATCATAAAAAAACCTTTAATAAGCAGCTACATAGTAAAAATGATGCGCTCACCGCACGGCGATGTGTTTAAGTCACGTTTAAATAGAAAAAAAGAAACTAAGAAATTAAATTATCAATACTTATTTACAACCAATACATAAAAAGAGTAGGAGGTAAGTAGGTTAGGTTAGTTTTACACCTACTACGACTTATTAGATTAATTCAAAAAATGAAATAAAAGCAAATCGGATTTTTATAAAGTAACGGAAACTATCTTACCTACTATTAGCTAAAAGATCCCGAAATATTAAGTATGTACAAAATTAATTTTACAGGACCTAACTAATAAAAAATACTTACTTAAAAAATTATACGAAACAATAAAATTATTTTACTGGATCGAAAAATGTAATTCTCTGTAGCGCAAATTTCTCGAATCGCATGCGTCCGACGACGACGTCTGCCCTCACGTGACAGCCCGGTTCGGGTAGGCATAGTTATACCCGCCATACACACTACGATAAATCGTTACGATTAGACTGCACAGTCCGAACGGTACCGATAAATCGTAGCGTGTATGTTATAAAACTGCACAGTTTCCTATACTAAACGAAATCGTATAAACTGTACCGTTCGAACTGTACAGTCTGACCGTAACGATTTCTCGTAGTGTGTATGGCGGGTATTAGATTGATAGATTCGTGCGCTCCCCCACCACCCGACAGCGCCGGTGCCTGCCGCCACACTTCGGCGAATAAATAGTCTGTGGGCGAATGTGCGCGACGACAACCGACGACCGACGGCAGCGGCGGCGCGATGCAGAGTATTAGTTAAAAGGAACTTTAACTTCAAAAGCCAATTTTTTTTTAACTTGATACACTCAAAACTTCTAAATATCATGTTCCTAGGTTCAGTGGTTAAGATTTTGTATACAAAAAGTTTGATTCTTATTATTATAACACAATTGCTTTTCATTAATATATGTTATGTCATCCTATATTTGTTTTTATATGAAAATCACAAATAAATGTAATGTATTTCTATTCCCAGGTATATAGTGAATTTCATGTTGGACTCTACACTTGGTCTTCTAATTATATGGGCAGGCATCAGATTAGCACAGTACTGGGCCAGAGAATATGATATACCTCTGATAAATTTTGGTGAATATGGTAAATATAATCTATATTTTTTTATAAAATTTATTTATTATCTTGTTTTAAATAATTTATAGCAAACTGGTTTTGTTACTTAAAGTATTTAAAGGGGTTTGGGTAAAAGTGGCTTGATTTTCAAAGTCTGTAGCCACGAATGATTTTTTTTATTGAATAGAACTAAAAATATTAAAAATAAAATATTATGGCCATATATCTGTAAAGTACATCGAAGCCAATATATGATTTTTTTAAAATAGAATAATCGTAAATTCATATCATTAAATCTTATGTGCTTTTTTGTATAAATTGTTGTCTAAAACATACCATTTAAGTTAATAACGGTTTAACAGACCCTTTTCTGTCTGGTCTGACTGCTTCAGCCAATCACATCAGTCTTTCGATATTCTACTTGGGTCTCGTATATGTGAAGATCATGTCAACTCTATATATATGCCAGTGTAGCCAGCTCGGGATCCCCACGGGCAGGGTCATGGGACGGGCGCACACTCGTCCTCTCCTGCCCGCTCTTCTTCGGCGGGAGGGAGCGGCCAGGGGATCATCCTCCCGCTCGCTCTCGGTTGCCTCTTTCTACGAGATGACGTTCTTGCAGAAGGAGGCAGCCGCCTTCCATGCCGTCTCGCTACTGAGCATGGCCTCTACCATGCTCCTCAGCGAGAAGGCTCCGCCTCTCAGCGCCGCGATTAGGTCGCAGCGCTGCTGTAGCCGAGCACTCCAACAAGGTGTGCTCGGTAGTATCGTCCGGGGCGCCGCAATGATGGCATTGCGGCGTTTCTTACCGGCGGGCGATACGGTACAGGTAGTAACCGAAGCATCCGTGTCCGGTCAGTATCTGCACTATGCGAAAAAGAGGCCGCCGCACCGGCTTAGCGCAGTGCCGACCAACGCCAGGCAAACCGCCTCCTATACCGACTTTGCCTTCGCCGCCACCATGGTGTCGTCGGCGAAGCAGACAACCTCCATGCTGGGAAGGAGGCTGCCTCGCAGCACCCAGTTATACCCCAGGTTCCAAGGCAGTGGACCCAGCACTGACCCCTGGGGTACCCCTGCAGCCATGGCCGAGAGCATACGCTTCCATCGGGCCCCTCGTAGAAAACTGACCTCCCCTGCAGGTAATCCTCCACGATGGCTCGCAGGTATGGAGGCACGCAGTGAAAACGCAGTGCCTCCATAATACACTCGTGGGGGAGATTGTTCTCTTCTTCTTTCAACAGGCGTTTCCGCAACTCGACGTCCTTATGGCGCCTGTTTTGTTTTAGGAGGGTGTATAGCCGGAATTACTCCAGCCAGCCCAGCTCCATCAGGAACGCCCCCAGGGCCTTCACATTGGTGACTGCCTCTTGGAAGTTTCCCGGTGAGCCGAGGTATTTCGCCCGGTATTCGGTCACTCCGTTGCATTCCAGTTTCCAGAACGTGAGTAGCTGTTTCTTCTGCCTCCATGCATCCTCTGCATAGAGGGTTGTCCGTGACAAGTAAGTTAAAAAGATGTTTGTTAAAATGTGCATGTCCGGTAATAGCACCTGTTACCATGCGCAATGTAGGTTTGCTTAGCTGTAGAAGAGTTTTGGAGAGGACAGCGTTCACCCGTGGCAAAGCGAGCTTGGTCTGCCTGCACGTCTCCAGATCGAGCCAGTGTTGCTGGTGTAGTGCGGCTGTGTGCTCGCAGATTTTATTTACAATACAGCTTAACGGTATCGGGACGATTGTCCCGGACCTGTTGGGGTCTAATCGGACCCCTTACGGGCCAGCTCATCCGCAGTGTAGTTTCTGCGTGATCCACTGTGTCCCTTAATCTATTGGATAGTAATAGAATTGCTTACCCTATTGTGTTTAGGGTTTGTTGGCATTCTTGCAGGAGGCTCGATTTGACTAAACAGGCATCTAGAACTTGTAGGACAGATTTGCTGTCGGACAGTATTCGTATTTCCTGTCCTGTTACCTTTCTTGACAAGATCGCCCTTTGCCGCCAGTATGATGCGCATACATTCAGCTTGAAAAACTGTGTTGTACGGGCTTAAGGGGAAAGCGATATGTATATTGAGGTCCTCAGAGAAAACACCCGCGCCCGTGCCCGATGATGTTTTGGTGTAGATCATGAGAGCCTTGTGTGTTACCTTGGGATCGTTGTCATCCAGTAGATGTATTCTGTACTTTTTGTCAAATATGAAAGCAGGTATTATTTTGGGGGAAGACTGTTAAAGGCGTTGCGGATGTCTAGCTACACCGCAATAGCAGTCTCTCCCCGACATGGACCGCCTCGGTCCACCCCTTCAAAAGGGCCACCGCCTCCACCGTGGACCGGTTTCGCCGGAACCCGAACTGGTGCTCTGCCAGATTTGGGTCCGGCTCCCGTTGCTCGATGTTACGCCCCGCCAGAATTCTTTCAAAGAACTTACCGGCGTCATCGAGCACCAATGCTGCCGCGCGCGGCCCAGGTAGGTACCTACCTAGGTACTCTGGATCAAGAAAGCGTTACCACAATACTAAACATGTAAAATAATCTCAGGAGATTATTTAATGAGCTTTTATATCATATGACTTTTGTTAGAATTCAAGATCAAATATCTTGGTTCCGATATTAGTTATGGAACTACTACTTTGCTAAGAACAATTCACATATATAGTACTATCAAACAATCATAATTAGTTCATTGGCCGCTGTAAAAAAAAAATCAAGCCAACCTCCATACAAAATTACCCAATCCCCTTTCTTGGAATACGTTTTTTTCTGTAACTTGTTGTTATATGAAATTATATATTTAAATGTCCTACTTTTTACTAATATTATAAAATGTGAAAGTTTGAATGTTTGTTAATAAATCATGCAAAAACTTCTAAATGGATTTGAATGAAATTTGGTATCCATATAGTCTCATATCTAAAAAATATTGGGTTCCTGTGGGATTCTCAAAACACTTTTGTAAATGAGAACAAAGACATGACTAGGGATGCAAAGTCTTTTGAAATATCGATATTTATATCGAAGTCAGGCAAATATCGATATCCGATATATCGACCATTTTAACTCGATATTATCGATATATCGATATTTTTTTCTTTTTTTTGCTTTGTATTAAGTTTGCAAAGCAAAAACCTAAAATTAAGGAAGCAAAGGTTTCCGAAATATCGATATTTATAATTTGGGCAGGTAAATATCGAAATCCGATCAGATATGTCAGCCATTCCAACATTTCCAACACGATATTTTCTATATTTTTTATAGCGCTGTAAGAAGTATCAAATCAAAAGCAATTTCGAATCAAAGATATTTATTTTGTTTAAAATATTTGCACGCAGCCAAAATCAGAATAGATAATCATATGAAAAACAATTGTTATGAATTAGTAAAACCTACACATCAGGCTCCAGAATAGGGTAAGCCCAAAGCTTCCAAAATTACTATACCTATCATACTTTCTTGACTTGGCGAGCTTAAAAAATTTACGATTTATATAAGATTCTTAATTTTATTTTGTGTTATATTACAATGATATTAAATTTCAATTAATCAGTAGTTGACAATTATCTAGAAAGAGAGGCAAGGATTTTATTTAAGTGCATGAGTTACCATTAGGTATACGATTATACCTATATACGTAGGTGTCGATGGCATGATTATCTAAATTTAAAACTAAATTTAACATCAGTCTCTCCTTTTCATTCTGTATAGAGAATGACAAGGATACACTGTTGTCAAATTTAATTTTAGGTTTAGAGAAACAAGCCAGAGTCCACACCAGTTTAGTATATTTCTTGGGGTTCAAGATTTTTTTAATACATCTATAAGCTCTTGCAATTTCAAAGCAATAGTTATTTCGATATTATTCAATTTAGATAGTCATAGCAGGTAAATTAATTGATATTATTGTTTTCAAATTAAGTCTACGAAATATCGATATTTTGGAATTTCCGATATCGATATTATCGATATCAGTGAATTTTAAATATCGATATAAATATCGATATTTTGGTCTCGATATTATCGATAATATCGATATTCCGATATATCGTTGCAACCCTAGACATGACTAGCCGCTGGTACCAACTAACCAACAACATGGGAGTGTAAGATAAAATGATCACCAAAGATTTAATTTCCCTGATGATTACGATTATGTTTACTCATTATGTATTTCTCAATTTCAGGAAAACCTCCAATGTGTGCAGCATGGATATGTCAATGCATACTGTATGCTGCACTGGCAACATTTGCTAAGTCAGTCCTAGCACTGGTTTTGAGACTGCCGCCTGTAACGGCGGTGCTGTCCACACTACGTCTATCGCCAGTCACAGACCCACGACTTGAGCTCGCTGTAGTCATGCTCATCATACCTTTCTTTGTTAATGTAAATATATTTTTTAATCTGTAAAAACACATATTTAAAATAACACGTCACCATTACCACAACTGTATTATGTTTTGAGACATGTAATATGATTTTGATGTTAAGTTTTTGTCACCAATAACAATCATAATTCATAACACTTACATACATCATAGTCACATCACATTTGCTTATAGTGGCACAAACTAATCACAAATTACAAAAAATATTAAAAAAATACATCATAGTAAACTAGATGTGAAGACTGATGAATATTAGTAGTAGCAGAAAAGTAATTAAGTATGCATTATGCTAGAAACATACCCAGCCTTATCAACACAAACATTATAAGATACCTCATTTTTTTATTACCTTTTGAAAACGATATAAGTCCTGTTGCTGCAGTAGCAAAATAACTTTTTCTTGATCTTCAAGTTGTTGTCGAAAGCCCTCATTGGCACTAAACTAAGGAAAGTGTTACAGCCCATTCTGTCATCAGAGTGCTTTCGTGTTGTGTAGGGTAATGGCTTTCTACACTCACATTCTATTTCATCAACAAACCATAGATCAGTGTATTGTGGTTTAACTCTTAAGGTGCAATATTTTTTTCACACCCTATCAACTGTTCCTGTAATTTAATTTACTTCAAACATCCAAAAGTTAAGAATTGCATCGCAGGCTGGCAATTTGAGGCTAACCAGCTGAAAACGTTCTCTATCACGCCAGTTCTGTTTGCGTCAAACCTTATACAATAGAATATCCATTACAACACAATAAGATACAGTTCTAAAAGAAGTTCACAGCGGGTTTCCCCTCGAAATGGAGCGACTATCTGAAGAAAGCAATCTCGACCTTATAGAAGACCACAGTAAAATACCTTTCGGTGGTATTTCTTTTGGTGAGTAGGGTTCCAGGGATCCACAGGACAGAGGCATTGGGTTTAGGCTGGTGAGGTAACAATGACTTAAGCGGCACTCCTTCCACCGCATCATCTATCTTCGCGACTGGACTCCAGTTAATCTTAACATCAGGTGGACTGGGGTATTTATTTACAACTAACTTTTAAATTCTGAAGACTACTTACACTTGACTTTCATATTAAGGTTATTACTGAATGTAATAGGTACTTTGTAAGTAATACAATACTACAGCACTGCACTAAGAAGCCACTATGCCCTTTAAGATATATGTGTTTTCAATTTGTTACAGATATTAATATTCTGGGTCACAGACAACTTTCTTATGTATCATCCGAGGGGAGTTAGTTCGAAAATTAAAACAAAGGTAAGTTATATTAGTTTAATAAGAAAGTATGATTGTTTTGTGCAACAAAAGGTTGGTAATCGTTCCAAAGGTGTGAATGTTGAATTGATTATGGCTTATTTCATTATCTTGTTTTCTAAGCGTGTCAATAAAGGCTATTTATAATTATAATCTAACGGTATTTCATGCAAAATAGGCACGCTATACACCTACCCCTTTATTAGTAAACGAAGAATAGGCCTGAATTAGTTACTCCATGTTTTGTCTTTGTTCAATGAATGACAAATGACATTTGAGTGATATGATTTTGTTCATATCACTCAAATGTCACTGCGTAACTAGTCTAAGCTTATTTCTCGTTTATTAATTATAGAAAGGATATAACCTAGAACAGTGTTTCCTAAAGAGATCCAGGTAGAACCCTTGGTATTTCCATTGTTAGCTGTAACTTAATCGTTTTGACGAGTTTTGGGAATATGGTAGTAATATAGAAGCACCGATTTCATGATTCCTCGTAGGAGTTAAGCTAAAACTGCGCATTTTTCAGCCGCAACAGTTATATTAAACTGCACGCCATTCACAATTACTTTAGGTCGAGTAGGGCAATTAGTTGCCTCCACAGAACACAGAAACAGGTTAGAAGGGCCTTGTGGGCGGGGCAGGCGTGCCACAGCTATTCTGATTGCGTCTTGCTCGCGGTTGTGGGCGCTGATTGGTTTGATTATTTGATATTACGTCGTTTGATTGGCTATTATCTATTAGGTAGCAGTGTAGTGGGGGCGAGCCGGTGACATCTGTTCCCGTACGAACGGTCTATAATCACCCTTCTAACCTCTTTCTGTGTTCTATGGTTGCCGCCATGTGAAATAGAATCATTAATTTACTCAAAGCCGTCAAAAATACAGGTCCGTTACCAATCCATCAAGAAGGAAAAGACGGGGTCTGATGAAGAGGAGCATTCGGCTGACGAACGACTACTGGGAGCTAACGTATGACCGTACCGCAAGCCCACGGTGTATCGGGCTTAACCAACGATTTTGACAGGCAGGCCAAAAACACTTGCCTTTGCTACGTAATATTGCTGAAACCCCGTAGTTCCAAATTACATATAATTTCCTTATTGAAGGCTACATCATTTCGGACTATCGAGTGGTACCTACTACATATGTATTCACTGAAAAGAAATCGAATTAGTACCGACGGAAGCAAGGCTTTTCTGTCATTGGTCGGATTTTTTTATTGTCGTTATCCCCGCCAATGACAGCCTCCTATTTTGAGTGGCTCTTAATTCCTATTAATCCAAAGTTAAAAAACAAGTGACTTCTCTACTAAACAAATAGAAATGCATAGACATACAATTTCACTAATGCTATGTCATGTCTGTATTATTGTGTTGACGAATAGACCATTATTATCGATATTTTAAATCCTAACCCCATACTCAAGCAATATTACTACTATAGCTAGGGCTACGGCCATTTCTAGCTATACATTGGTAATACAGACTTATTGTAAGCCAATGATATATATTATATAGAGATTAATTATTTTATACCCAGGGATTATTTTAATAAGCAAAAATATTTCATTGAAACAGAAAACATGAAACGTTATTTTCCAACATCAACATTTTTCGTTTTCATATTCAGTCATTTCAGTCACAGGTCATCTAAACTTAAATAAACTTGTGTAATTTATAGGTAGGTAACATAGTTTAACATGGAACGAAGATCAAGTAAGAGAGAGCTTCAGCTTATAGAAATGAATGTAATTAACTGAAAATTATTGTATTTAATGCCACATTCACTCATTAAAAAATTAAATGTTGAATGTAAGAGCCTGCGCTGCGTTAAACGTGCTCCCGCTTATAATGCGATTCAACTAAGAGTACAATTCATTCTTTAAGGTCTAAAAACTTAACCTATAAAATTTTCGTTGACATAAGTTTTATATACCTCGTTAATTATTGTGGTAAGCTTAGCGCTTATTCAATACTCTTTCGTGCCAAAATGCTGCCCACCCAGTATGCTTCGTAGAGTTTTTGCCCTTATGTGGTTTCTCGTCGACATAATTTTGTGTTTGGGGTGAGTATCTACATTGAACGACAGTAACTAAGATTAAGGCGGGATTCCCGTTGCACGACGCGGGACGGAGCACGGAGCGGATCTCGGCGACGGAGGTCCTCTCCGGCTACCCGCTTAACGCAGCGCAGACTGGAATATTATTACGAAATAATATTATATTTTTATTTTCAGCGTATTCCATGCTATACCGACACTTTTTTGCATTAATTGGTGCTTAAAATAAGGAAAATGAGTTGTTAATAAATGAGGCAGAAAAGCAAAACTCATTCATAATGAGTTTTGCTAGGGATCATTCCCTATAAGGTCCACGTTATATCGTTATATGTATTTGTAACGGGTTTGAATTAGAACCAACCACTTTATAAAAGTGAGAAGTTCACAAACCAAAATATCAATTCAGACTTAAACGACGAGTTTAAGAACAACATGACTTTTCAAAGTTATAATTATTTAAATACAGAAAAATATGATATGTTGTTTACAAACTATATAAGGAACACCAATTACGTTCGTTTATCTTCCATATTATCATAAAATTTTAATGGATTAACGAACCATTTATGAGATCACAGCAGTGGATATTAAAGATATGTTTTTGATTTAGTTTGTCATATATAAGAGAAACAGATTTGGTGGGACGGAATTGAAATATTTATGTATAAAATTAAGTTTAAGTTGACTAGTTGTATACAGCATAATTACTGGGACAGGACACTAGGCAAATATCTTGAGTAAACCATACACAATCAAATTTGCCCAGTAGATGTTTTTGTATGTAAGAGAAGTTTCGTTGGCTATGATTTATGCTCAAGTAAGATGTTTGCCAGGGTGTATGTATATGTACCTAATATTTTGTTGATATTGTTACTACATTATGTACAAAGGCTTCTTAGATGGAAAAAGAAAAATATATTTTTGTATGTTTCATTTTTAGAATGAAATTATTTATAATGTTCCTAATGTGGTGTAAGTACTTAGATTTCAATCAATGTAGTGCCATTTTGATTTTATAAAAATTTACTTAAACATCGAATAAAGACTGATAAAGTCAAATAGAATTTATAGATCTACTTACTTTTTAAAAATGATGCTTTTTATAGAACTGAAACTAATTAGCACTTTCCACTATTCGACGAGCTCCGTGGCCGAGTGGTTTGTACGCCGGGTTTCATGGTGTCGCCCACTCGAGAGGTCCCGGGTTCGAATCCCGGTGGAGGCAGATGTTTGTGTGATGAATACGAGCATTTGTACTCCAGTCATGGATGTTTGATATGTATTTCTATATAAATATACTTATATATGAACAGTATATGTATTCTATCCGTTACGCATCCCATAACACAAGACTTACAGTGCTTACTTTGGGGCTAAAAAAAAGCTGTGAGCGAAGTAGACGCAGCTGTACGCAATTTTTTTTATTTCCTTATATTTGAAGTTTCTATAGTTGACTGAATGAATTTTAAAGTAAATATTGGAACTTGTACAAGGACATAGTTTAGTTGAAATGACGTTAATAAAAGCAAAATTCGAATCCACTTTTTCAATGTAAAGGCATATTGTTATTAATACTTATTCTCATAAAATTTTAAATCCTACCTCTTTTGTTTGTTTGGTGAATAAAAATAAGAGGTTGTATCATCTGTTTATCTATATTACATAAAGCTATAATTCGCCTCTAATGTGATCTTCTTATAAAGAAGTTTCTGGGTTAAACTGCTCATAATTATTTACTAGATACCTTCATCAATAATATCATAATAATTATTATACTTTAATCTTAGAATAATAACGTAATTATATATATATATATATCTTTATATATATAATTCTTCTGTGAGTGTGTATGTCACTGAACTTCTCTTAAACGACTGGACCGATTTTGATGAAATTTTTTGTGTGTGGTGAAGGGGATCTGAGAATGGTTTAGATTCACAATTTTGTCCGCTGGACAACCCCTATTTTTTAGGGCGGTACGAAGTTCGCTGGGTCAGCTAGTATATATATATATAGTTATTATTCTAAGAGTTTAATCTTAAATCACCAATAGTTGATAATATAATTAAACATCATATTATCTTTTGCATGTTATCTTTTCTTTTTAATTCTGTATATTTATTAAATTTATACTCCTATTAAAAATTATACACGTATTTTATTCTATATTTAAGCTAGAATCTCGTTGAGAAATATCAATTAATCTTTTATACGAAGAATCCAATAACAGATATCAGTTATCTTCGAGCTTATATGTAGTTATATATTTTCATTGACAGTGGATTTTCTTTGGCCAATATGTAACTGTTTATAAATCTGATGAAATTAGGTTATTGTAAATAATAAATAATTGTATAAAATGAAATGTATATAATGACCTGTATATTTGTGCATATATGTTAATTGTTTGTGCGAATATAATTCACATTAAGTTTTTTTATGGTTTTATTGCTAAGTTTTACGTTTAACCTTCCGTATCGCCATTCTGGGTTCTAGGTACGTTCTAGGACTGGTCAGGTCTTGCAGTAGGTACTGATCGAAAAAGATCGCGAGATTTGGGTTCCTTCATCCGTTCTCAAAAACTTTAGAAAAGTTAAAGTAATGAGATAACTTGACGATGTCTGGATTACTAATTAATTATAATGAAGTAAAGGGGCCAAGATTATTTTTCACTTTTTAGATTATTTTAAAGGCCGATTTTTTTTAATTCCACTTTTTGGTTTCTTAATAGGAAGGAAGGTTTTGTTGATATGAGCAACTGAAGAAGAATCTCAAGATGTGAGGATGAAAAGACGAAAATGGGTTTAATAGCTGAGGAGGTAGGTACACAACGCATAGAATTTAGAGAGTTTACGAAGGTTTTACACCTCTGATACACATTTGGCATAAATACAATGATTTGTATTTATGCCAAAGTATGCCTGATTTTCTTCGGATTTTTAAATTAAATTTCGAATATTTCTACCTTTTTCATTGTTATGCTTCTAATAACTGGTAGAAATAGTGGACTAATGCTGCGTACACACCGGCTCAACGAATGCCAACGAAGATATTCATCGTTGGCTTTCGAAAGTAAAATACAAACAACATAACATCGTTGGCACCTCTAAGTTGGCACTTGATTCCGGCTCGCATTCGCAATTTGATCTGCAAAGCGTCATGTGCGAGTGCGACAATGAAATAATTAGAATTGCTTGTTATAGATATCATGACAAGTTAAAAAGGATAAGAAAAAATAACGAAAGTAGAGATGGTAGACAACCACATAAAAACATTTCATTTCATCATTACTCCACTACACTTTGCTTTTCTCTATAATTGGCGGGAAATGTTTGTAGGTTAAGACCTACGCTCTCTCGCTTCAGCTAAAGTTTCATTCGTTGGCCTTCTGCCACCGTCCATACTGAGTTCGATCTTCTTTGATGTTACCGACATGCTCTGGAATTCTGGATCATCGGCACTCGAAAAAAAACTATGATAAGAAAAACAACAAAAAATAAATAAAATAAAAATAGCTGGTAGCAAATAAAACTTTGACATGTTCACATTTTTGTAGGTTTTTAATTGTAACGCAAATAAAACCATGATCTGTTCAAATCACTGACATGAGTGAATGTTGAGAAACTTGTGGATATATCACACTTTAAGATTAAATAATGAGAAAAGAGTGTTTTCTATAAAATTGGGGTCATTTCGGTTGAAACGTCCACGATATCACCATTTTTTGGAGAGCGCGTACTTCAAACGATGTAAAAAAATCTAAAGTTCAGAGAGTACTGCAGTAAAAAAATCTAAAGTTCAGAGAGCACTGCATTTTTATTCACAAGTATACATATTTTGCCAAAACTAAAGACCACAAGCAGCGATAAGGATGCTTTCTAAAGCTTGCTAATGAGCAAAAAAACAGGACAGCCCACAGAGGACACAAAAAACAGGATCGCCCACAGAGGACAAGTGTCCTCGGACGTTTGACTGGAAATACTTTTATGACACTCAAGTGTCATTGGTCGTTTGGGAGGGTGCAAAGCTTAAGTTAAAGCATCACAGCAACCGTGGTGTTTTGTATTCAAACGTAAAAAACGATGTATATGTTTGTGAGTTTTTTCATCATTTTTATATCTATCGCAAAAGCAAGGGAGTGTTTTTGTAATCAATTAAGCCCGCAATCTCACGGGGTACCGGGTTCGATCCCCGGTCGGGTCAACTTATAAAATTGATTGTTTTTATTTTCTCGGGTCTAGCTGAATAATTTATAGTACTTTTTTCTGATGCACTTATTAAAAAAGCTTCAATTAATTTATTTCTTTTTTTACTAATATAAGGTGAGGTTTCAAATGTTACATCATACAGTAGTCACTACTGTAAGGCTCGCTCGTTTTTTATCTCTTACAATATAATTTCAATAATTATTCTATTCTGCCTGCCGATGTATGAGAACGGCTAAAAAGTTACTCACTGCTGCGATTATAATGGCGCAATAGAAGTATGACGAAATATCGCAATAACAGCCGATATTATCGACCGATAATAACGCGCCTATGGGTGGGAGGTTTAATAGTTTGGTCAATTCTGTAGCTAAAAAAAATAAACGAACCTACCTAGCAAGTTCGTAACCATAGTGACTGTTTATTTATCATATGTACCAAATTGTATTTGTTGTCCATGGAATATGAAATGTGAAGTGACATATTTATTTTCTGACTTGACTGATGTTTTGTTTGAATTTCATATTAACTATAATGAATTTATCAGCATAAAAAGTTTTATATAATTACTATTGTATAACTCATACAAAATGAATGAGAGCGAATTAAGGAAATTATTGCAAACCAAAAATGGATGTCGGGTGCCTGTTATGTTGCCGATTCCTGATGTTCACAAAATGGATAAACTCCCCTTCACACCATTACCACCCTACAATCGAATAAAGGTAAGATTAAGAAAACTCCCAGGCAGCAGGCGGGACTCGAAGCCGCACCCTCCACTATCCGGGCGGATGCACTGACCATTATTCTACCGCCGCGCCCGCCTACCCGTCTGCTGCTTGGTCCGCGTGAAATTTCTTCTAGTAATATTTTCTTTAGATTTAAACACCTAGCAGTTAAACGCTTACAATATATACGGTAAAAATATTTTTTTTATATAATTTAATTAAGTATTTATTTTTTATTAAAAAGGGTCTCAAACCCCTGATGGACAATTTCACGCATAAATTTACTATAAATTAAAAAAGAAATATTGCATTTTGTTAGAAAAATACTTAAGTATAGTGGCAAATTTTTTCTTTTGAGTTTTTATACTGACAACAATTTTTAGATATTATTTTTCTTGCTGCATTGTCATTTACGAGATGGCGTCGTGAGCTCAGCTGGTAGTGTTTTTTTGTAGTGAAGTTTTGATTAAATTTTCACGGTGAGTCTTGAATTATTGTTATATACGAATGTCATTTTTGGAACATTCGCGAACGCGAATGCGGATGCGAATGTCTAGTACCGACATTCGTGAATGCTAATGCGAATATTTAGTTTTTTTTTTAATTGGCGCCCATTGTCTATGGCATGGTGGCAGTCTCGTTCGAATTGCCGAGTTGATATGAACTCATCCGACTGAAGTGTTATTCCGCTCGCACCGGTCTTTCCGTAAACAAAACAAGTGAATTTTGAGGTTAGTGATTGTGAGTGGTAATAGTGATTTATTAACATGTAGTACTGTCAATCTGTCGAAAAAAATATCGTTTCAGTGAAAAAAAAACCTAAAGAGTAAGTCTTGTTTTTTCTGTTGCCAAATGACGTCAGTATGCCACCTTGGCGACGGGCATGTTCAACTCGTAGGCGTTTTTTGAAAAACTCAAAAAAACCGTCAAAAATTTTTTGAAACGCATTTTTCTTGTTTTGTATGCATTTTAGAAACTTTTTTTTCGACCATAATTGTAGAGGGCGTTGAATGCTACAATTTATGTCATTGTTGCAATCTCGTACAACAAAAAATGCGCATTGTATAGGTGGCGCTAGTCTCAAAAAAAGTGTTTTTTCACTTTTTCACCCTGAAAATATCATTTTAACGGAAATATTTTAAATGGCAAAGTTGTTTCGTACATAATTACCAACAACTTTAATATAAACAATTTTTTTGTATTACTTACCGTTTTCAAGTTATAAATTGCGCAGGTATGAAAAATCCAATAGAGCGGTTTTGGGCAGTTCAAGTACACATTTGCAGTGCACATTTCAATGTACGTTTTACTATTTTTTATTTTTTTTTCATGATTGAAAAACAAAAAAAACTTATTTTTATTTATTTTCATGATTGAAAAAAAAAATAGTAAAACGTACATTGAAATATGCACTGCAAATGTGTACTTGAACTGCCCAAAACCGCTCTATTGGATTTTTCATACCTGCGCAATTTATAACTTGAAAACGGTAAGTAATACAAAAAAATTGTTTATACAAAAGTTGTTGGTAATTATGTACGAAACCACTTTGCCATTTAAAGTTTTCCGTTAAAATGATATTTTCAGGGTGAAAAAGTGAAAAAACACTTTTTTTGAGACTAGCGCCACCTATACAATGCGCATTTTTTGTTGTACGAGATTGCAACAATGACATAAATTGTAGCACTCAACGCCCTCTACAATTATGGTCGAAAAAAAAGTTTCTAAAATGCATACAAAACAAGAAAAATGCGTTTCAAAAAATTTTTGACGGTTTTTTTGAGTTTTTCAAAAAACGCCTACGAGTTGAACATGCCCATCGCCAAGGTGGCATACTGACGTCATTTGGCAACAGAAAAAACAAGACTTACCCTTTAGGTTTTTTTTTCACCACTCAACCTACAGATTAACTGTACTCAGTGCCGTAAATAGAGCGGTGCCACCGGTGCCCAGGCACAGGGCGTAGACTCTGGGGGGCGCAAGGATTAAATGGCCAGACCGCAGGCAGGATTATTATTTTTCGGTCTGCTCCTGATAAGTTCCCACTGCGACCCCAACACAACAACTCGATTCCAACATAGACGTACCTACATGCCAGTATCATCCAAAACGTCTTAACGTCTTCGTCTTACGTCGAATTAGAAAAAACATCGCGCATACTAAGCGGCAGAGACACAGCATTTCTGCTAGGGTACCTATAATATTTGGATGGGGAGCGGTGAGGTGGGCAGTAAGCCGCGCATTTAGCTCCTAGCGCGGGCAGTCCTGCGCACGTCTGCGGGATATCCCAAAATACCCGGGTGATTCCTGCCGTGGAGCCCCGGATAGGCCGGACTTTTGGGTGCGGAAACGCGGTGAAGTCCCTTAACGGGAATCTCGCGGTTCCGCACTTAAACAGCGTAGAGGGTATTTGCAGGATGTTTTTAGCGGATAGTATGGCGCGGACTGCTTAACGGCTTATCCGTTTCGCACCCGTGAGACTTGCGAGAGGCTAGGTGTGAGGTCCGTTCGTTGGTGTGCCCCTTAAGGGCGCCAACGTCTGTAAATAGAGGTTTTACCTGCGTAAAAAAAAGGGTACCTATAATATCAAAAAAAAACAAAGGCGCAATTATAGAAGCTCGCATAGGGCGCAGAAAAGACTATTTACGGCACTGACTGTACTAATGAGTAAATCGAATTCTAGTGAAACATGGACTTATTTCACACTTTGCGATGCTGAACGAGCTAAATGCAAACTGTGTAACAATAAATATTCAACGAAAGGCAGAACTACAACTTCTTCAAATTGTTTTTGGAACGAAGTTCCTTATCGCGCGTTGTGAAAGGGGGCTAGACGGAAAAAATTCTTACGAAAAGTTGTCACGACACTTTTTGCTATAGTAAGCTATTGTAAGCTGTGCGGCGTATTATACTCCCGTAATTTATTTATTTATTTAAACTTTATTGCCACAATTACAAAATGAACAAAAGGCGGACTTAACGCTAAAAGCATTCTCTGCCAGTCAACCTTTAGGAGTACAGAAAGACACGAATGCGGCTTTAGAAAAGAAGTAATTAACTAATATAAACATACTACGTAATATGGTGAAGTTAAAGGGAGTGGTAGAGCGACGAGGGTGCATCACTGAAATATTGTGATATTACACCAACACTGAATATTTGTGAAGTTATAGGGGGTGGTAGAGCGACGAGGGTGCATCACTGAAATATTGTTATATTACACCAACACTGAATATGTGTGAAGTTATAGGGGGTGGTAGAGCGACGAGGGTGCATCACTGAAATATTGTGATATTACACCAACACTGGATATTTGTGAAGTTATATCAAGCTGTGGACCAGTAACGCCTGTGAGACATGATTATGATTACCAGGTGAGTACTTATCAGGAGGTGGCAGAGCGACGGGGGTGCATCACTGAAATATTGTGATATTACACCAACACTGAATATGTGTGAAGTTATAGGGAGTGGTAGAGCGACGAGGGTGCATCACTGAAATATTGTGATACTACACCAACAGTGAATATGTGCGAAGTTATAGGGGGTGGTAGAGCGACAAGGGTGCATCACTGAAATATTGTGATATTACACCAATACTGAATATGTGTGAAGTTATAGGGGGTGGTAGAGCGACGAGGGTGCATCACTGAAATATTGTTATATTACACCAACACTGAATATGTGTGAAGTTATAGGGGGTGGTAGAGCGACGAGGGTGCATCACTGAAATATTGTGATATTACACCAACACTGGATATTTGTGAAGTTATATCAAGCTGTGGACCAGTAACGCCTGTGAGACATGATTATGATGATTACAAGGTGAGTACTTATCAGGAGGTGGCAGAGCGACGGGGGTGCATCACTGGATTATTGTGACATTGTAGTTTATTCTAAACTGTGGGCCAGTCCTGCCTAGCATCCTTTACGAACGCTAGCGGGACATGATAATAAGGTGCGTATGTAGGGGGTGGCACAGCTACGAGGGTGCAGCACTGGAATATTGTGACATTACACGAAATCTGGATATTTGTGACGTTATACCGAGCTGTGGACCAGGAACGCCTGTCATCTGCTGTAAACTTAAGCTAGACATGATAACAAGGTCAGTACTTAACAGGGGGTGACAGAGCGATGGGGGTGCAACCCCAAATTATTGTGGCATTATACCAACACTGGATTATTGTTGTATATTATACTAAACTGTGGTTAAGTCCAGGGGGGTGGCAGAGCGACGGGGCTGCATTACTGGATTATTGTGACATTGTAGTTTATTATAAACTGTGGGCCAGTCCTGCCTAGCAATCTTTACGAACACTAGCTGACCGAACTGAAAAAAATGTGATAGTAAAACCGTAAGAAAAAATCCGTGGAAAAAAGTGCGTGGAATAAAACCGTTAAATGCGCATTAGCCGAAGGAACTTCGTTCCTACCTGGTTTTCTAATATTCATCTTCGCAAAACATTCGCAGAGATTTTGCGAATGCGAATGTGAATACGAATATTCAAAAATATGCGAATATTCGCGAATGCGAATGCGAATATTCGTTACATCACTAATAGATACTGACTGTTCAAACAATGACGTATCGGTAGAGTTCGTAATTCATGGATTTTTTTAAAGATATATAAGGTGTAAGATGACAGTGTCAAGTAAAGATTTAAATCGTTAGATATGCCCTTACCATAGTTTGACCGCTCTGAAAGCTGAGAGCACTCGAATAGGCTAAGTAGCGTATCATCATAGCTTGTCTAATCAGTGTTCATCTGAATATAGTGGCAGTTTGACGTTGGTGAAATACCGTAGGCATTTTGTGTGTGTGTAAAAGTGTATTAAAATGCCGTCGTGTGCCTTCCAAAAGTGCACTAACAATTCGAGAAATACAAATAAAGCCTAATGGTGTAATATTTCATTCGTAAGTTTTTAGATTTCATTGTTTATTAAATTTATTTTCTTTCGTTGACATAAATATTGAAATCTGACCGGACAGCGCTT